CTGGGGTACGTTCTGAGGCCCTGGCTCAAAAAACCAAAAACAGCAGCAATATCCCAGAGACAGAACACGTGCTTAAACATGCCCAAGGCAGTCCTGGGTTCTGTCCCCCAACATAACCATCACTAAAGGGCTAGAGAGAGATCTCAGTCATTAAGTACTCGTCTTGCCAGCCTGAGTACCCGAGTTCAATCCACAGAACTCCTGTTAAAAAACTGGGGAGGTGGAGAAAGGAGGATTGCTGGGGTGGCTAGCCGGCCTGTCTAGTCTACGTTGTGAGCTCCAGGTCCCAGGGAGATGCTTCCTCTCAAAGGAGATAGGCAGTGCTTCTGAGAATGACAGCCCAGGCTGTCTCCTGGCCTCTGCAGGCATGTGTACACACACGCGCGCGCACCACACGTGCATTCAAATAAAAAAGTAAATAAATAAATTAAGTAAATAAATATAACTCTTTTGTATTTTTTTAAATATATATTTATTTTTTTATTTTGTATACAATATTCTGTCTGTGTGTATGTCTGCAGGCCAGAAGAGGGCACCAGACCTCATTACAGATGGTTGTGAGCCACCATGTGGTTGCTGGGAATTGAACTCAGGACCTTTGGAAGAGCAGGCAATGCTCTTAACCACTGAGCCATCTCTCCAGCCCTCTTTTGTATTTTTTAACCACAGATTGAAAAGTGATAACCTTGGGAGGGAGGGACGGCTAGCGAGATGGGTCCTCTGTTAAAAGTATTTCCTGCCCTTCCAGAGGCCCCGAGCTGGGTTCCTAACACCCACGTCAGGCATCTCTCAGCAATTTGTAATTTCAGCTCCAAAGCAAAGCTGATATGTCTGGCATGCAAGGGCACCTGCACACACCACACACAAATAAAACTAAAAATAATAAATCTTAAAGAGTTATCTATAACAAAGAGGCTGTGCTTAATCATCAGAAAACATGCTGGTTGCTGAGGAACTATGACAACATGGCTCTCATGCCCCAGGCCCGTGATTCTGAGGAACGCACCCTTCTATACTGTCCACTGAACTCCGGGATAGATGAGGTCAAATTCTGTTCTTGGTAGAAAAAGAACAGAGCAAGCTGATCGTGACATGGGAAGTTCCCCTCCAGGGGCTGAGTCAGAGCGTGGACAGCAGCCTCCCTGCTTCAGAGATGTTGATCAAAAGCGTGGACAGGTGCTGAGTGTTTGGAGCAGACTCCCTTCCTTCCTTTCTCCTCCCTCACTACTCAGCGTTTTGGCCTTGGGTTCTCCTGGCCCAGGGACACACCCCTGCGAGGTAGAGCTGGGGGTAGGGCACAGGTGAGGAGATGCCTGAGGCAGGCATTGGACTTTAGACATCTTGTGTCAACCCCTCTCTAGACAAAGTGCGACCCAACAGCGCTGCTGAACAGAGTGTGCATGATTGGACCTCGTCGTCATGATCCTTTCCTTATCGTGACGGCTGCCTGACCGACCGACCGCTACCAGTCCCTGCCTCAGAGCAACCTCTAGCACACGCCTGCCCACCTCAGTTTGTACCCTCAGGTATCCAGGGCTTTCCACAAGGCTGTGTCTGTGTATACATGCTGCTGAATAACCTGCCATGCCAGCCCTTGACATAGAAAGACAACGGCTAAAGGAGAGATGTTTGTGCTTGACTAGAATGCTATATATAATTTGAATGTAAGCAAAAGTGATTGCAATTGTGATAAGGTAGGAGCCGGGGAAACCTCCAGCGGCATCCAGCAGCATGCTGGGGTCCTCAGGCCACTCACTGCCAGGGAAGACTATACCATTGGCTTTAAAATCTGCAGGGGTGGCAGTGTGGCACAGTGGTAAGAGCTGTGGCTACCTTCACAGGCATGGAAAATAAAACCAAACCTGATCACATCTCTTCCCACCCCCTCCAGTTAGTTGAGACAGATAATCCCATCTCTGCAGTGGAGGCAGGGGGACCAGGAGTTTAAGGTCGTCTTCCCTACATATAGCGTTTTAGGCCAACCTGGGTGACATGCGATAACCAACCACCAAGGGACTGGAGGTATGACTCCGAAGGACTTGGGGTCAGTTCCCAGCACCCACATGGTGGCTCGCAACCATCTTTAACTCCTGTCTGAAGGGTCTGATGTCCTCTTCTTGGCTCCTTCAGGCACCAGGCATGCACGTGGTACACATATATACATGCAGGCATAAAAGTTAAATAAAAAAAATTAAGTTTTTTTTTTTCAAAAGAACAACCTCCGCCCAAGGTCACACGTTGTATCCTTTTATTAAATGCTTTCTTTCCCATTTGCAGTGCTGCAGGGGAACCCAGGGCCTTTTTCACAGTGGGCATCTGAACTACACGCCCGTTCCTTTTTCAAACGTTCCTCTTGGAGACCGAGTCTCAGGATAAAGTCCAGACTGGCTGCTACTCAGATCTTCCCACCACAGCATTCCCAGTCTTGGGATACATATATACATATATGCATATATACATACACACATACATACATATATACATACATGCATGCACACACATGTACATACATACACACACACACACACACATATATTTGTCACACTGCCCAATGTGATAGTTTTAAATGTCAACTTATGTCAACCTAGAATCATCTGAGTCAAGAACCTCGGCTATAGAAGTGCCCAGATCAGGCCTGTGGGCATGCCTTTAGGGGACTGTCTTGACTGTTGATTGACATGGGAAGTCCCAGTCCATTGTGGGCATTCCCTAGACAGGAGCTCCTGCACTGCACCAAACAAGAAAGGGCTACCTGACAGCAGTAGATGGCTTCGGGCCGCTTGTTTCTTTCTGCTTTTGACCGTGACTATGACGTGGCTGACTACTGACTGAATGCCTGCCCTGATCTCCCCTCGTGATGTACTGTGACCCAGAAGTGTAAGCCAAATAAATCTTTCCTCCCCCAAGTTGCATTTGGTCTGGAATTTTTAACAAAGCAACAGAAAGGAAACCAGGACTCCCAGCTTCTCCAAATTCTTAATGCCTTCCCTATGTTCCTATAGAGAAGCAAGCTCCTGAACTCAGGAGACAGAGGCAGTTGGATCTCTGTTAGTTTGAGGCCCAGCTTCATCTACATAGATTCTGGACAGTCAGGACTATATAGAGAGACCCTGTCTTAAAAACAAACACAAAACAAAGCAAAAAGGTTCAGAAAGCAAGTCTATAAGCCCCGCCAGTTGCCTGCCTGCCCATCTTGCTAGTCTCCTCCTGTTCCCTTTTTGCACTTCAGATAACCTGATTTTGCAATTCCTTCTTAGCAACACACACACTTAGTGTATTACCAATAGCTTAGAACATACTGTCCCCTTCCAGCGCCCACCGCCACCAGAGAACTCTTCACTTTCCCCTACTTCCAGCTCAACTCCTACCCCGACTTCCCCACCCCTGCCAAGGGCCATTAATAGCCCTGAGTTGCTCAACGTGTTGTGTTGACGTGTTGACGTGACTACACTCAGTACGTGACTATACTCAGTACCCCGCTTTGTTTCTTGTCAGTTGACTTGGGAAGAGTGGCCTCAACTGAGAGATCGCCTTCATGGCTTGTGGGCAAGTCTCTGGGGCATTTTCTTGAATAATAATTCATGTTTCGAGGGCCCGACCCATTATAGGTGGAGCCACCTTTGGGGCGGTGGTCCTGGGATGTATAAAAGAAGCTTGCCATGGAGACCAGACAGTAACCAACCATGATCCTCCATGGTCTCTGCTCAGCTCCTTTTCTACGTTTCACCTTGAGTCTCTGGCTTGGCTTCCCTCAAGGGCACTGGTTTCAGGAGGTGTAAGATGAAATAACCCCTTTCCTTCCTAAATTGCTTTTGGTCGTGGTCTTTATCACAGCACTAGGAAGTAAAGTAGGACATTCTGTTTCCCCAGTGAGAGTCCGAGCCCCAAGAGGCCAAGCCTATTTTTTGTACCCATTACCTCTCCTCTCTGTGTAACAAAAGGCCCAGTAAACACCAACATTGACTTACAGGAAAATCGTACGTAAACTCGCAGCCCAGGAAAATCAGCTCCCAAATTCTAAGTTTTCCTTCTCCACCCCCGCCCTGCCCTGCCCCTTCCTTTCTTGCTTGCTTTTTGTTTTCGATCTGGTCTCACACAGCTGTGGATCCAAGGGTGACCTTGATCTGACGGCCTGCCTCCGCCTCCCCAGTGCTGGGGCTACAGCTGTGACCACACCAGGCAAGACAACCGTGCACTGGCAGTTTCTAGGTTGTCTTACTAATGATTTTGGAACTGAGATCTGAGACCTGCTTCTTCATCCCAGAAACTCTTGGCAAAGTTCTTTCCTCATTTAGAAGCAACTTGGGCCGGGAGGTGGCTCAGCAGTTAAGAGCACTTGCTCTTCTTGTGGAAGAGCCAGGTTTGGTTCCCAGCACCCACAGGGTGGCTCCGAACCTTCTGGAACTCTAGTTCCAGGGGGTCTGTCTCCCTCTTCCGACCTGAGCCGGCACCAAGCACACACGTGGTACACACACATACATGAAGGCAAAATATTCACGTACATAAAATGAAATTAATCTTTTAGAACATTTTGGAAACAGAAGCAAGGGCAGGATGGCCAGGGAAGGCTCCGTCTGCCGCTGATCATGGAAGTGGGGGGCAGGGAGAGACAATAGGGCAATCTGAAAACTATGAAGATCCACACACTTCCGAGCCAGAAGTATCTAGGGCACTGTGTCCCCAAGAGTGCCCACTGCCCCCCTTCTACCCCTTAGCTGTGGCACAGCTGAATCCTGAGACTCAAGGCAGGTCTTCAGGGAACACAAAGGACAGGACTATAGAACGGCCTCCGGGAGTACCTAGACGTGGCCTTGGGGCAATGGCCCTGGTTTCTGTGCCGCAGGTAGGTTGTGCTTGTGGCCAGAAGGACCGTTCAAAATGAGGAAGACGAGACAGAAGCGCGGTTCCGTCCCGGGTACACAGAGTCTTGCGCAGCTGAGCCCCTCTCTTCCCAGGCTCAGCTCCGCCTCCTCTGCCACGTGCCCTTGGGACTGAGGATGAGCGTTGGTCGAGCAGAACAGCGACTGCGCAGGAACCAGATACCGGCTGGATATTCTCTCAGGGTCTGAACACAGGCCTGTGCGTGCCCTGTTGGGGAAGTCGAGGCAGGGATTGAACCCTCACCTTTCAGATCCCTTCTTACCACAAAATGGGCAGAGAGAAGCGAAATAAGAGGAGCTAAGAAGCCGGTCTCAGGCCTTTGCACGCCCCAGACTGCAAACTTGACCTTTCTTTTCGTTTCTATATCCCCCACTTCTCACCCTCCCCAAGTAAGTGACACCGCCAACCGCCCTCAATTTTCGTGCATTTTTTTTGGGGGGGTGGTCTTTTTCAAACTCTGTGAGATACATGGAAAGCTCTGGCCCTGCCACGCCTGAGTTGGAAACCCTTGTGTTGAAGTTGTGTGGGGAAAAAACAGCGAAGTTTTGCTGAAGGGAGATAACCCCCGACTCCGTCGCCACCTGAGAGGACCTACATTCCTGGACTCATAGTGGGCACCGAATAAACTGCTGAGGGGTGAAGGAGAGAGCAAGATGTCGGCTGACTGGACTTGAGCCTCAGCAATAGATCAAAGAGCATGTCTGACAAGGACGAAAATCTACGGGCCTGGTGGGACTTTGCTCTGGGTTTTGGCCACTTGGCCTGCTCAGCACCCTGGCAACTGCACACGTGTTGAGCACAGGAGCGGGCAGTGGGCAGGCTGTGGGCAGACTGCTGGGCCCAGACCCGCCTGCGGCGACTTACCCTGCCCTGCAGAGAAAGAGTGCAGGTATTTACTGCTTTCCCAATAGTGATGAGCCTATCTCTCTGGACCACTCAGGGTTCCTTAAAAAGACAAAATAAAAATTTCTCCTCAAAAAGTGTACCTTGGGGCCAGGACATAGCTCAGCATTAGACCGCTTGCATTCAATTTGGTCTCCAGCACCAATAATAATAGTAATAGTAAAGATGGTGATAATAATTGATAATAATAATAGTTTGGGCATGGTTCCTTGGGCAGTCACTCACTCTCCACTAGGGACACTCGGCTGTAGACCTCGTACTGGGGACCACTCTAAGTTTCTATGGTCCCATCTGTCACCCTTTATCTAACGTTAGGTTTGCTGGGCTGGCGACAGCTGCATGTGTCCATGTGTTCCAGACAGAAATAACCCCTCTAGTCACTCTGTGAGAGCATGGCTGGGGAAACCTGAGCAGTGGGGACACACTGAGGGCTGTTTCCTCCGGGTCCCATGCTGAGCCCGCAGTTTCAGGGGGACATGCTGGTTTAGCCAAACTCTAGAGGTTTAACTCAAAAAGCAGAAGTGAAAGGAAGGGCCAGTTTCTCTGTGCCTGAAAGGGTTATCCTGATTTAAACTGGCAATAAAAATGCAATTGGCTGGGAGTTGGCATGACCAAAGTGCATTCTAAATGTCTTCCCTCCGCACACGGCACAGCTGGCACTTTGAGGAGCTGAGCCGCAGGCTGCCCTTGCGGAACAACGATGGAGAAGGAAGATCAGGAGAAGAAGGAAGGGGTGAGTGTGTGGCTGCCGGCAGCCAGAGCTGTGGGCCTGCCCAGCCATCCTCAAGACTCCCCGGGGCTCTGGTGGTGCAGGTCCAGCCTTTGGCGGGCTGGTCTCTAGAAGAGGACGCTTGCTCAGAAGCCCGACCAACAGCTGGACTTTTATAGTTGGAGGCGTGATTGGTGTTAATAGACAGATGCCTGTTAGGAATCATGCCCCTGGAAGAGCTGTTGAGAAAGTACCAGGAATTGGGCTCGCGGGGGTGGTGGGGGGTGGATTTCAACTTGTGGAGTGCTTGCCTGGGATGCGTGAAGTATGAGGTCTAACCAGGTGTGGCGGCACACTTGTGTCTCCGCAGTTGGGAGGTAGAGGTAGGAAGACAAGGAGTTTGAGGTTAGCCTCGGCTACAGAGGGAATTCAGAGCCAGCTTAGGATAGAGACCCTGTCACAAAAAAGGTTTGGGGTTTTGTTTTTTGGGTTTTTTTGTTTTTTGTTTTTTTTTTGTTTTTTTTGTTTTTCCTGTTCCAAACGCACAGTACAGCTGGAGGCTAGGTGTAGATTCCTTTGACTGAAGAAAATCTACTGTGCCAAGAAGGTAACATGAATCAGCGAATACTTTCAAGGAATTTGCATTCTAATCCTTCCAGGAGCATTTGCTCCTAAGAGGATGAGAAACATGCATTTGTGTCAAATAGTGTTTATTGAGGCCCATAAGACATACAGTTGGGAAGCCTGGCCTGCAGCATATAGAGTGGGAGTGGGCTTGGGAGGGAGAAGTGTCTGTTATTGGGACCAGCTCCTTCCCGTCTGAGCTGTGGCTAAGACTTTGGCAAGGTATTTAATTACAGTAATTTAGTTACTGAGATAGTTGTTAGTACAACCGAGGCTGGCCTCAAACTCCTGATCCCCCTGCCTCTACCTTTTAAGGGCTAGGCTTGTAGGTGCGTGTCATCTCACCTTGTTTAACTCTTTTAGTATCTTCTCACCTATAAAATGCCCTGATAGACACCCCCTCTCCTGGGTGCCAGAACAGTTAGATAATGCATGGGAAGCATTTGGCCAGGAGGAAAGGCCCCTCTTGATATTACTGCTCGGTTTATCCTATGGAGCTAGTGACCTCACTAGTGACACAGGGCACCAGGTATCTCTGGGGCTGTCTAGAGCTACAGGGGAACATCGGGGCCTCTGACATATTTCAGGTATGATAAACATGTCCTCTAGGGGGCAGAATCAACCCCTCCCTTCACCCAGGGTCACTGTTCATCCAGGGACCTCACTGGGATTATCTTGTTTTGTTGGTGGTTTGTTGATTTCCCAGTGCTGGGGACTTAACCCAGAGACTCACGCATGCTAGGCAAGTGCTCTCCCACTGAGCTACACCCCGGTCATTTTCTCACTTTCAATTTAAAATAGGGGCTCTCTAAATTGCCCAAGCTGGCCTTGAATTTGCAATCCTCCTCCCTCAGCCTCCCAGATGGCTGAGATTACAGGCTTGTGCTGCCACCACGCAAACTTCTCTGGGATTGTCAGGGCTGAGAAAGTGTCTGACAGGTCAGATGCCATCATCTGTATCTGGTAGGAAGGCACCTGAGGCTAAGGACTCGAATGTTCAGGGTCACAGAGATGCTGTGCCCACCGCTCAAGGAGAAAGGAAAAGAATGGGGACGCCCGCGCGTGGTGCCCTTTGCAGATGAGCGCTCGGTGAGGGAGGGAGACAGCTCAGACAGCCCCTAGCCTGGGGCATGGGTTAACCTCGGCTGCCCGCCCCTCACTTGTCCAGGTCTGAAGCCAGGCACGGAGCCTGGGGATCAGGAGAAACCAGGGAGGCACAGGCTGCGCAATCTTCTGGGAAGATGCCAGACAGCACTTGGGCCCAGCTGTCCCTCAGGAGCTGTGCAGCTCAGGCCTCAAAACCACTTAAGAACTGTTGGATACAGTTTCCTCTTTTCCCTACAAAACAGCACTTTGGACAATGAAGACATGGTCTGTGATGTGTCTCTGACACGGCTGCGTTTCTGTCCTGAAGGGAATCACTTGCCCTCTCTCCTCCCCAAGGCCTCACTGTTGTGTTGGTACTAACTCACTAATGAGCTCACCCACATGTGACACTTACTATGTATAGATCAGCTGGGTGAGGTGGGGGGGCTTCTTCCCTTCCCTGTACTCTAGAATCGCACCCAACAGGGTCAACCCCAATGGTGGCTGTTTTACTGAAGCTTTAAGATGTTTCCCCAGTAATTTGGTTAAGAGTGGTGTGCACAGGAGGGAATCCAGGGCCTCGGCTGTGCTCAGCAAGTGCCCTGTGACTGAGCCACGTCCACGTCCCAAATTCTTTTTCCTCCCTCACCTTGAAAGGAAGAAAAGAGAGAAAGAGAGGAAGTTGAGGTGAGACTGTGACTCGCGTGACACAGGATTCAACCAAGTAAAGATACACAGTTAATTGCTCTCAAAAGATGAAGGAGTCCCACTGCTTTGCAGCCTGGATGCTAAGTGGCAGAGGCAGGAATAGAAAGACACAGCTGCATTATCAGACTCGGGCACCAACCCGAAGAGCTGTTGCCAGGGGCCTGGGGAAGAGGTACCGGGTAATGCCGCTCAAGAGTACAAAGTTTCTATTGGGATGCGCGAGCCCCGGAGCTGCGCGGCAGGGTCTGTGGTTGCAGGGAGTGTCGCAGTGACCAGCAGCAGACCGACCGTGTTGATTGGAGCTAGTCCTCCTTGGTTGCTTGAGATTCACTGAGTACATTTTACACTCACCACACACGTACGCAAAGATAACGATGTGAGGTGGCAAGCGTACTGATAAGCTAAACGGTGTTAATCGCTTCACAAAGCGTGTGCAAACACCATGGTACACACTGTAAAGAAAAGCCAGACCTGCCTGCTGCTTGGAAGGCTGGGGCACAAGGAACACAAATTCAGTGGAAGACTGGGCTGCAGAGAGAATTCAAGTCAGTCCAGTCAGCCTAGGCAACTTAATGAAACCCTCCCTCCATCTAAATAATAATAATAATAATAATAATAAAAAGGTAAAGAGGGGGTTTCATTTGTAAATCTTTCCCCCACTACTATTTTTGATCAAGAATAAAAGCCTCTTTCATTGTTAGTTGGTGCTCAATCTTTTTGGCCCTATAGTTCCAGGCAGGGAAGGAAAAGGACCCAGCTTGGGGGCAAAAACTGCAGTTTTGGTATTGCAGGTGGGATGTAGCCTCATGAGCCACACTCCTCATCAGAGGATTAAAAAGCTGCTGAAGAGATAGCTCAGCATTAAGAGTGCTTGCTGCCCTTCCAAAGGACACAAGTTCAATTCCCAGCATTCACACTGGGCAGCTCACAGCTGTCAGTAAGTCCAGTTCCAGAGGCTCTGACCTCTGGCCTCTTGGAGCACCTATATTCACGTGCACATAATTAAAATCAATTTTTTTTTTGAGACAAGGCTTCTCTGTATAGCCCTGGCTGTCCTGGAACTCAGTTTGTAGACCAGGCTAGCCTCGAACTCACAGACATCTGCCTGTTTCTGCCCCCCAAGTGCTGGAACTAAAGGTGTGCTCTACCACTACCCAGCTGTAAATCTAGTTTTTAAAAGCTGCAGGTCAGCAGCGAAAGAACGCTCATGGGGCTGACTCAGTAACTTGTTCTGTTGGTTTGTGGCATCCGTTGTTAGGCAGGGACTATTGGGGACCCCCTTCTGAGGAAGTGAGAGATACCTCTGTTGTGAGGGCCCCCCGCCCATGCAGCTCTCTTCTTGGAGATGGAGAGAAATCTCTGGAGCTGGAGCGATACGTGAAAGCCTGGAACTCTTCTAAGAGCTTTTCCATCATGAAGACCTGTTCTTGACAGTCCACGGATTAAGTGTGGTGTCTCACGCCTTTAGTCCCAGCACTGCAGGGGGAGAGACAGACAGATCTCTGTGAGTTCAAGGCCAGCCTGGTCCACATAGTAGAGAGACTCTGTCTGAGAGAGAGAGAGAGAGAGAGAGAGAGAGAGAGAGAGAGAGAGCAAGCTAGCCAGCCAGGCATGTAGCTCACACCTCACACATCTACAATGCCAGGATTCAGGGAGACTAAGGCAAGATGATCAAAAATTCAAGGCCAACTTGGGCAACTTAATAAGACCTGCCTCAAAACACAACAACAAAAACAAAAAACAAACCTAAGTGATGGTGGGAAGCTTGATTAGCGTGTACAAGACCCAGTCAGTGTCTAATACACCTTCCCATCCACTCATCCACCCAGCCACACAGGCATCTACCTATCTACCTATCTATCCCCCATCCATCCATCCACCCACCCATCTATCCACCCACCCATCCATCCATCCATCCACCCATCCACCCATCCATCCATCTATCCACCCATCCACCCACCCATCCATCCACCCACCCACCCACCCATCCATCTATCCATCCACCCACCCACCTACCCATCCATCCATCCGTCCACCCACCCACCCATCCATTCACCCATCCATCTCTCCATCCACCCACCCACCCATCCATCCACACATCCATCTATCCATCCACCCACCCACCCATCCATCCATCCACCCATCGACCCACCTATCCACCCAACCATCCATCCACCCACCCACCCAGCCAGCCAACTAGCTACTAATTGTAGCATGAAAAATAAAAACCCAAAGACAGATATAGGAGTTAAAAACTGAAGATCAGAGAAGCAGAGCAGTAAAGCCACTAGAGAAGACCGTTTACCTCTACCAATGCTCAGACCAAAGGGGTGATCCTCAGACTGCCTAGACTGCACTATGTCTCCACCAAACCTCAGACTCCAACTCCAGTGAGTTCCTGTCTCTTTATATTTCTCTCTCCACCCAGCCATATCTCCTGCCTCCACCTCCTTAGTGCTGGGATTAAAGGTGTGTTACTCCCAAACACTGGGATTAAAGGTGTGAGCCACCACCACCTGGATCTGTTTCTGGATAGCCCAGGGTAGCCTTGAACTAGCAGAGGTCCACCTGCCTCTATCTCCTGAGTCCTGGAGTGTGCCACCACTCCCTGACCTCTGGTGGGTTAGCTTTGCACTCTGATCTTCAGGCAAGCATTATGTATTAAAATACAAATAAAATATCACTACAGTCAATGAAGCCAGGCATCAGCCAAGCTGCTGGTTGATACAGTGGTGAGCAAAAGTGACAACAGTCCTGCCCTGGCTGTTGATTTTGTCTGGAGAGAAGAAAGAGATCAAGCTATGGCTCAGAAGGTAAAAGCACTTAGCAAGCAAACCTGCTGGTCTGAGCTTGATGTCTGGAACCCATGTGATAGCGCAAAAGAAGAACCAACTCCTCAAAAGCTGACCACATGTATCTCGGGGGCACACTTGCACACATGAACATACACACTTGTGCCCCCCGAGATACCCCACACACACAGACCCCACACACATTCAGGAGTTTCTGGTGTACACACACACACACAAAGTACCCCTGGTGCACACACACATGTACAGACCCTTTGCACAGGTGCTTCTGGTGCACACACATACACACACACAACCACATACAGGTGCTCCTGGTGCACACAAGCACACAGACACACACACACACATATGCAGGTGCCTCTTGTGCACACACACACACCCATGAACAGACCTACACACAGATGCCCCTGGTGTACATACATGCACAGACCCACACAAGGTGCCCCTAGCATACACACACACCTACACACAGGTGCTCCTGGTGCACATAAACACACGCAGACCCACACACAGGTGCCCCTGGTATGTGAGGAATCCTTGGGAAACAGTACAGCTTTGGAAAGCACTTGAGCTGAGGAGTTGGAGAACAGTCTGAATAACACGGGGTTGGAGGGGTGCCTGGCTGAGAGCCTGTTCTAGCCTCAGTGAGTCAGTCTTTGGGTAGAGAGTAGATGGAAGACGAAGGGTGATGTTTAAATGGCTGTGTGCACGCTGGAAGTCCAGCAGGAGACCTCCCATGCCTGCTCCCTGACATCCACCCTACCTCTCACAGAAGTTGACCCTGGTGCTGGCCCTCGCAACATTGATAGCTGCCTTCGGTTCATCTTTCCAATATGGGTACAACGTGTCTGTTGTCAACTCACCATCAGAGGTAGGTAGGCCACTGTGGTAAGTGAGTCACAGCTGCGGACATAGTGAGGGGTTTAGAGATGCATGTGGTCCCCAGAGAGCAAACACAGCCTATTCCTTAAGGACCCTTGGCCGTCAGGACCCAGGCCAAGCGAATGACCAAGTCCTCAGACCTCAGGTTCTCTTGAAGATACCTTCTGGGATGGCAGTGTGCAGAGTCACCTGGACGGCAGCAGCCACACCATCTGGAAGGCTGCAGCCATTCCAGGGTGTGAGAAACCCTGCAGGGGTTGGCCTGTCAGAGTTCTTCCCACACACGACCCAGGCAGCTCTGTCCCTGTCTCCAGTAGGGCTGTCCCCATCCGGCTAAACACCTCCATTAATTCTTTCTGCAAAATGAGCTCATCTGTTTCTGTCGGTCTGTGCTCTCCGCCTGCAGTTCATGCAACAATTTTACAACAACACCTACAACGAAAGAACCGGGGAGTCTCTTGATTCCTTCACCCTGACGCTGCTGTGGTCCGTGACGGTGTCCATGTACCCCTTTGGGGGCTTCCTGGGCTCTCTCCTGGTTGGACTCTTGGTGGATAAATTGGGCAGGTAAGAGATGAGTAGGTTGGCTTGGGGTATGTGTGTGCACCTGTGTACATGCGTGTGTGCGTACATGCATGTGTGTGTGGTGTATGTACTTACTGGTGTTGGTGTGTGCATGTAAGCATAGTTGTGCAAGCGCAAACATGTATGTGTACTTGTGGAAGCTAGCAGTAAACGTTGATAGTACACAAGCATACATTCAAACAAAATATTCATACACAGAAAATTAAATATTTCAGTAAATCTTTAAATTTTTTTTCTCAAGTATACAACTTCTGGTTGGGGATCTGAGACCCTGAGATTGTCCCGTGAGGCAGTGTTGAACCCATAGTCTTCCCCGTGGGCCCCAGTATGGGCCATATCTGCCGAACACAGGTCAACTAGTGAGCGCTTGCTCAGGAGGGCCCAGCGTTCCTCACTGAGCTGTCCATTTGGAATTTAATCAGGGTGGGTCATATGTTTACAGCTACCTTAAATATTTGCAGGTATTTTAAAAACAGCAACAGTGACTTAGTTTAAGGATGGTTTCTCTGTTCCAAACACTACCCAAAGAACTTCAAGAGATACATTCATAGCTGAGCAGGGTAGCTCACTCCTGTGGTCCCAGGACTTCCGGGGCAGCAGAGGTTAAAGTTTTAGGCTAGCCTATATGGCATAGTGAGATTGTTTTTAAACACCTTTAATCCCAGCACTCAGGAGGCAGAGGCAGGTGGAGTTCTGTGAGTTCAAGGCCAGCCTGGTCTACAAAGAGTTTCAGGTCAGCCAGAGCTGTTACATAGAGAAAACTTGTCTCGAAAACAACAACAACAACAACAAAAATGTCTTAAGTAGTACGTATGTGTGCACGCGCACCGCTCTTTCTTCTTCAGTGTAAACAGCGGTTCTTACTCTCTCGTGTTATGCTCGGTGTCATATGTAAAAACGCCTTGAGAAGCTACCTAGATTTTTGTACTTCTATAATATTCCAGTTTTACTTTTTTGTCTTTTGTCTTATTGAATTACTATTCGTGAAGGGTACAAAATCCATGTCTAGATTCATTTTTATTGTTTGTTTGTTTAATTTTTATTCTTCATTTTATTTTATGTGTCTGGGTGTTTTTCCTGAATGTGAATCTGATGCCCAAGGAGACCAGAAGAAGGTTATCAGTTCCTCTGGAACTGGAGGTACAGACGGTTGTGAGCTGCCATGTCGGTGCTGGGAATTGAACTCGGGTCCTCTGCAAGAGCAGAGTGGTTTTAACTGTGGTGCCATCTCTCCAGTCTGCATGTTCTGCTTTTGGTGTTTTGATTATCATGCTGTCAGCACAGGCTTGGCAGTTACTCTCCCGCCCAAGCCACATCCCCAAGACTTGCTTGTTTTTGAGACAAGCTCCGCAGTGTGTCACCAGGTTTGGTCTGAACCACTGGGCTCCGGGGATCCATGTACCCCAGTCTCCCGAGTGCCACGACCGCAGCCCACTGATGCCATAGCAGATTGATTTTACTGTATCTTAGGACAAGTCTGTTCCCCTCTGCTCCCGTCACCAACGCCCTCTTGGCTCCCACAGCAGGATTTCTCTGTCAGTCTCAGGTCCCGGGGAAGCTCACTGCTGTCACCAGGGGCCACTGCTCTGAGCAGACATTACGGAGTGTGTGTTGACTGTGAATTCGTGAGGAGTGAATCAGGAAGTGAATGAACGAGTCCTCACGCTGAGCTGACTTCTTTCATACTCGCTACAGGAAAGGGGCTCTGCTCTTCAACAATATATTCTCCATCGTGCCAGCCATCCTAATGGGGTGCAGCAAAGTTGCCAAAACCTATGAGCTTATCATTGCTTCCAGACTTCTGGTTGGAATATGTGCAGGTAAGAAACCCTGCCCGGCAGTGCCGTTCAGCACGGGGGAGGCAGAACCGACTCCCAGGGATTTGTTGCAGTCTGGGGCTTCAGGAACACAGAGGTTGAAACGGACCCTACACAGGCACTTGAGTCTGTGCCTCATCCTCGTGAGTGGTCACTGGGCAGAGCCTCACCGTAATGTTTCCTGCAGGGAACACTGTCTTTGGCTTGTTTTTCCAAGGTGGGGATTGAACCCAGGATCGTGATAGATAGGTGAGCACTCTATCCTTGAGCCACAATTCCCAGCCAAAGAAAGTTGTTCTCTGTAAGAAAAAACTACAAAGCCTGAGTTTAGAACGGTCCTTCCAGTGTCGTCCCTTTATCAGTATCTCAGCATCGGCTATGATAATGTTCAGACGGAGGGTAGCGTCGGTCGGAGGGCAGTGTCAGTCGGAGGGTGGTGCCGTCTACTTAGTGAGCAGCTCCTTTGTTTGAGAGTAGACCGTCCTACGTCACAAGAACAGAAAGGGCTAATAAAATTTTGTTTCAGTCATTGCTCATCTGTGCATCTGTGGGAGAACCAAGTTGAACAATAGATTTCTGTATTTTTTTAAACTATAGTTAAATATAGTTTTAAAAAGTTGTGGAACTTGGACTGGGCAATGGTGGCGCGTGCCTTTAAACCCAGCTCTGGGGAGGCAGAGGCAGGACAGTCAGGCTTCCACAGAGAAACCCTGTTGGGGGTGTGGGGGCGGTGTGTGAAACTGGTTTGTAAACCCCACCTACCACCTTCTCAGCCAAGGCTGCCTGGGATCTGCTACATTGGTTTCAGAAAGTTCTTCCCTAATTGTCTAGAATTGGAGACACTTTTAGGACACTTTGAAAGTCACATGTGTGGCTTCCCCAACTGTCAGCCTTTCCCAGTGCCCAGACAGGAGTGGCTTTGCCAGTTCTCAGGGTGCTTCAGAAGCAGGGTAGGCACCTCCTGAACTCTACCCTCAAGCATCTCCTTCCAGAGGATCTCAGAGTAAACTTTCCTTCCAGATGTGGGGTAGGGATGACTGACAGAAGAAAATCCCTGCACCTCCTCAGCAGAAGTTCACAAGCTGGTGAGGCAGAGGTGGCACACCTTTGATTCAAGCGCTTGGGAGGTGGAGACAGATGAATCTCTGTGAGTTTGAGGCCAGCCTGACGTACAATAGTTAGCTCAGGCTAGCCAGAGTGAAGAACTGCCAGACAGTGTGGCGGGGGAGAAATAACCACATTAGGAGCAAACTAGCCATGGGGCAAACTTCACTCAGCACTGAGTTCTTGCTCCTCAGCCCCACCCCTAGCCCCACCCCAATCCCCGAGGGTACCCGGGGAAGCCATCCCTGCAATCATGGCCTCACCTGGCTTGGCTCTGCCTTTGGTTTTCCCTGCAGAAGCTTCTAGATGTTGTCAGCTGTAAGCTAGTGAAGTTTCTTTCCCACTGATCATGAGCATCCAGGATGGGTTTCCAAAAATAATAAGAAAATATAAAAAACGCTGATCAATAAATCAGAGCTAAACATCCAAACCTAGGACTGGTAAAGATGGTTCATCAAGTGAAGGCCCTCGCCACCAAGCCTGACCACCTGAATTTTATCCCAGGAACCTGCGTGATGGAAGCCCAGCTCCCCAAAAGCATACACACACACAAATGTAATTTAAAAATCTTAACCTAAGCTGAACCTGGTGGCATGTACCTGTGATATCAGCCACCTAATAGGCAAGGGTTAAGAGGATTTCAGGTTCAAGGTCTGCATTACTCCGTCTCAAAACAAAACAGAATGTAAAAGGGCACCGGGAATACAGCTCAGTGGTAGAACACTTGTCTGGCAAGATCAAGGGCCTGGCTTCATTCACAGCACAGACACAAATAAATTCCAGCCTGTGAAGATGGGGTCTCCTCACTATACTCTAACACGTGACATGCTGAGGCAGGAGGATTACCAGTCTGAGGTAGCCTGGACTGTGTTTGTGTAGCTAGACCTCGATTGTTTTGTTTTCATTGGTTCGTATTTGCTTTTGAGACAAGGTCTCCTCTGTAGCCCACGATGACTTCAAACTTTCAGCAATCCTCCTGCACCAGGCTCGGAAGTACTGGGATTATTCGGCATGTACCAGCACACTTGGCTAAGACTTTGGGGGGATGGGAGGGACCCCAACCTTTACACTTTAAAGCAGACTTTTAGTCAACGTTTGTCTCGTATTTTTTCCATCTGCGTATTTCCTCGGGGCGTGGCCCGCGTGTAGAGGTGAGAGGACAGTTCATGGATGTCCATTTCTTCCGTGGTTTGTGACCAGAATCAGGTTTCTTTCTAAACAAACCCAGGGCTTCAGCCGTGGCAGCCTGTCGCCTTTTCTCCTGAGCCACCTCGCTGGCACCTCTCTCAGATTTCTGGTCTCAGGACTTCTCTTCATTTTTAAGATTATTGAAAGTTCAATGGGACGTGAGCAAGGTCAGAGGTTAAAAGCACTTGCTGCTCTTGTAGCGGACCTGGGTTCTGTTCCTGACACCCCCATTAGGCAGCTCGCAGCCGGGACCAAGGGGACCCAAGGGCCTCTTCTAGCCTCCCTGGGCACGGCATGCATGTGGGATGGACACACACACACACACACACACACACACACACACAGAGTTTCTATGAAAGATAATCAATCACAAAACAAAACAGCTACCAGGCGTGCTGAGTTCAAGACCTCAAGACCAGGCTGGTCTACCTAAGACTCAGTTTCAAAGAGAAATTGGACGTTTATGCTTTACGACAAGTTTTGTAAGAAGAAAGACTTGCTCCACATGCTCACAATTCCCTTCAATGTCTGCCTTAACAGCAGGCAGTTGGATTTTCTTTTTGTTTTCATGAGACAAATGATAGATTATATGTATACAGGAAATAAGTCAGCAAAAGTACAAACCCGACCACCGTCCCCAGGATCGAGAAACATCTCATGAACTCCTCCGGGGAGTTCAGGAAGGGCATGGTGGCGTGGGCAGTACACACGGCAATGGCCAGTAGTCATGGGTAGCAGGGATGTGTGCGGTTGGCCCGTGGGAGGAAGGAGTCCAATGGCTATGGGATGAGGCCGCAGTTAGAAGGCCTCTTGTAATCTGCTGCCTAATCACAGGCTCAGGTGGATTTTCAAATCTGCCCCTGTTCAGTTAGTGGTGTCAGTAGATGGCTGCGGTTTCTGGGAAACCCACACTGTGCTCCAAGATGGAAAAGGGTAAAGAACACCTTGAGACAGTAGGAAAAGTAGTTCCAACCTCAGAGACAGCCTGGGAAGGTCCTCAACTCACACTTGGACCCAGCGGTGCGGTACCGCTCTGTTTGGGCTCCACTTCTCACTCACACCTGGACGTCAGTCAGGTGATCAGGCGTCCTGCCCCTTGGACGCACCAAGCACATAGCTCACTGAGAATGAAGTACACAGCCCTGTTGTGGGTGAGGAGCAAAGGTAGCTGAGCCTTGCCTTCTGGAGGCTCACGGATCAAGAATTCGTTGTTGATCAACCGCTTGACAAGAAGACGGAAGGCTTTCCCTGGCCAGAAGGAATGAACGCAGCAGACATTACAAACCCCCAGCTCCGACTCTAGGGTCTTCCCAGCTCGGTCTGGAGAGTCTGCCCCAGCAGAGTTAGCCATGGGCTAGCCCTGTCTTTGTAGCGCTGGGTGCCTGAGGCAGAAGGCGCTCTAGTGTGAGATTAGCCAGACCCCTTCCCCAAAATACACAAAATAGAGATTGCTTCCCACCTTGTAAGTGTCCTTAATGGAGATACACCTACCCAACTTCAGTTTGTTTTCACTTTGTTGCTTTTATTTTTTTTTTACATTTATTTATTGAGTGTATATTGTGTGGATGTGAGGGGCACGTGTACGCCACTCCAAGCCTGTGGAGGTCAGAGGATATCTTGGAGGGGTCATTTCTCCTTTTCCACCATATGGGTCCCAGGAAGCAAATTCAGGTTGTTAGATTTTGCATCAAGTGCCTTTACCCAGTGAACCATCTTGTCAGCCCTCCTTTGGCTTTTGTGACAGGGTTTATTTACTATGTGGTTCTGGCTGACCTGGAACTTGCTATGTGGACCAGACTGGCTTAGAACTTGCAGCAATCCTCCTGTCTATGCTCAAGTGCTGAAGTAGAGGTGTCCACCACAGAATTGGACAAATTTACAAACCTACTTACTTCCTGTTGGTGATGGAACAAGGCCTTGTGCAGACCAGCAAGCACCCTACCACTGAACTATACTCCCGTCATTCCAGCCAGTCTTTTTTGTTTAATATTTACTTTTATTTTATGTACATTGGTGTTTTGCCTGCATGTATGTCTGTGTGAAGGTATCATATCAGATCTTGAAGTTACAGACAGTTGTTAGCTGTTGTGTGGGTGCTGGGAATTGAACCTGGGTCCTCTGGACAAGAAGTCAGTGCTCTTAACCACTGAGTCATCTCTCTAGCCCCCCACCTATTTTTTTTTAAATATTTATTTTATTATTGAGTGGAGGGGCTAGGGGCTGGCTCTGTGCACATGAGTGCAGGTGCCTACAGAGGCCAGAAGAGGGTGTCAGATCCAATGAAGGTGGAGTTACAGGCTGTGAGCTGCCTGGTGTGGGTGCTGGGAACAGAACTCAGGTCCTCCGCAAGAGCAACCAGCTCTCTTAACTGCCAAGCCACCTTTTTTATTATTATTATTATTTCTCAGGGCTTTATTTATTTATTTTGTGGGGGAAGCCGGTGTGTGCCTCTCTCTTTCTACCATGTGTGCCCCCAAATTGAACTCAGGGGTGGTTCCCTGAGGCAGCTTGTCCCATCCTCATCCTCTCTGAGACCCCAGCCAGTCAGAAGCAAGGACACAGGGCCTGGCCAGGCTGCACCAGTCGAGAAGCAAACATTCCTGTTAGAAACAGATGCTGTGCGACTTCCCTCCACGAAGTTTAAGAAACTGAAAATCAGAGGAAGCATTCTCAAGGGCCGTTCGTTCACTCGTTCGTTGTGTTTGTGTAACACGAGTCTAATTGTTCTTAATAAAAACTCAGAGGTAGCTTTCAAGGGCTGAGAGCTGAAGGATCAGAGAAGCAGAGCAGCAGCCACTAGAGAGTTCTTACCTCTGCCGATGCTCAGACCTGAGGGGCCATCCTGCCTCTAAGAAACCTCAGGCAACATCCTCAGTCTGCATCTGAGCTCCTGTCTCCTCCCACCTTGTATTCCTCTCTCCACTCAGCCATATTGTTCCTGTCTCCACCTCCCTAGTGCTGAGATGAAAGGCATGGGATCCCAAGGGCTGAGATCACCTTTGTGTGAGCTCTGTTTTACTTTCAGACAGATTCCGTCTCGTGTAGCCCAGGGTAGCCTTGCACTCACAGAGATCCTTCTGCCTCTGTCTCCTGAGTGCTGGGATTAAAGGTGTGTGCCACCACCACCTGGCCTCTATGGCTAGCTGATGGCTTAGCTCTGCACGCCGAGCTCCACACTCTAATCCTCAGGCAAGCTTTATTTGTTAGATCACGAACAAAATATCACTACAGTTATGGAATACAGTTATGGAATGTGAGAGGTGGGGTGCACGTGTACATATAAGCATGAGTGCACATGTGTGTGGAGGTTCACACGTGTGTGGAGGCTGCAGGTCCACCTCGGGTGCCATTCTTCAGGAGCTCTGCACATTGCTTTTTGAGACAAGGTCTTTCATTGAACCAGGCTGGCTGGCCTGCAAGTTCCGTGATCTGCCTGCCTCCCCAGCCCCCTGCACTGGGATTACCAGTATAGATTCCCCATATCCAGCTTTATGTGGGAATTGAACTCAGGTCCTCATGCTTGCACAGCAAGTACCAGCTGAGTTCTCCCCCATTTTAAGGGAGGGCTAGGCTAGAGAGCATGCTTGGTAAGGTAGGGTGGGTTCTTAAAGACAAAATCTGTCTCCCCACTCTTTCCTGGCTAAATTCTCATCTCAATTCTCCTTCAGGTGTATCTTCCAATGTGGTCCCTATGTACTTAGGGGAACTGGCCCCTAAAAACCTGCGCGGGGCTCTTGGGGTGGTGCCCCAGCTCTTCATCACCATCGGCATCCTTGTGGCCCAGCTGTTTGGCTTTCGGGATCTCTTGGCCAATGAGGAAGGTGAGAACAGAGCCCTGCCCCCGCCCTCTGCTCCCCCACCCCAAGCCTGTTGACTTCCCCACTCTGTCTAGTGAAGACAGTCCTGCTCCACGCTCCGTCCATAGCCTGCAATGCACTTTGTAGGCCCTGAACAAGCACGTGGTGACACATTCCTTTTAGGAAACGGCAAGGTGTCTTGACTGAACAGGAAGGGCCTATGTCCCGTGAACTACTAAGTGACTGTCCACACTCTCAGAAGCACACAATAACTTATAAATGGACCCATTACCTCCTCTCTCTCTGTCTTGAGTCTTGAACCACTTTTTTTGTTTGTTTGTTTTTGAGACACGGTCTCATGTAACTCAGGCTGGCCTCAAACTCATATTGTAGTCTCCTCTCCTCTCCTCTCCTCTCCTCACTTCTCTCTTCTCCTTTCCTCTCCTCTTCTCGTCTCTTCTCTTCCCCTCTCTTCTCTTCTTCCCCTTCCTTCTTGTCTTTCTTTCTGATTCTTGGGCTTCTAAGAGGGAGACCAGTCTCACTGATCACACCAGTCAGAACATAGCGCTCGCTTGCGATGGCCCCAGACACCATGTCTCCTGCAGTAGCTCATTTGTTCCTCCCAGTAGCTCATGAGATCATGGACTTTAAATGTGCCCACTTTACAGATACAGACCCAAGATTCAGCGGACTGGAAACTTGTCCAATGTCCTGGACCTGGCTCTGGGTTACACTGCCATCCCCTCCCATCTTTCCATCAGTCCTGTGTATGTCCAGAACACCCCTGTCAAGGGACCACATTCTCCCTAGGAGCTCCTAGGAGCTGAGACCCCAAATGAATGGACTAGGGTGGAGTCTCAGGTCACCACAGCCAGCAGGACTCAAAGCCAGGAGCCAATGTCTGCACTGCACAGCATTGACAGAGGACAGGGATAGTCCTATCCACGGATGGAACATTCTAGACCTGGGCAGAGACACCAAAGGTGTCAAAATCCATTTTACTCTTAGGGGACTTCAAAAGGGTGGCATGCTAGCTCTCTGCCCTTCTCTGTCACCCTACTGTAGTACAAGGCTGGGTCTTGACCATACCCACTTTATCGTCCTTGGTCTGATCCCTGGCATAGAGCAGCGGCTTTGCTCAAACAGGGATGGCAAGGAGGCGCAGGCGAGGCACCCCAGTATCAAGGCTGCACAGTCAGATCTGGATTACTGTCTGGGGATCTTTGGTGATTCTGTACAGAGAGCTGTAGTGTAGGGCCCGGGAGGAGGGGCCCAGAGGCTGGTGACTATGGCTCGCATGGGAGACAAGACAGCAGCACTTGCTGCAGACAGGGCAGGGGGATAGGCACAGGGTCCCAGGATCATCTGGGGCCTGGTTCTGATCAAGGGGCAGCAGAGGGATGGTGGGAGGAGATGCCCTGGCCTAGGGAGTGGTGAGGCTGAAGCTGAACTTACCGTTGGATGGAATTCCTAGTCAAGAAGCTAGAAGCCAATTTCCTGGCCAGGAGCCATGGATTTGGGATGGTTCACACATGCCTTGAGGAAGACTGCAGCTAAATGAGGGTGCCTCTGACCTGTTTCTCTTATATGAAATCAAATACTAAAAACCCAGGGAAGTTTAGACCTAGTGGCACATGTCTGTAATCCCGGAACTCAGAAAGTAGAGAAAGGAGACCCAGGAATTCAAAATCAGCTTGAGATACAGAGTAAGCCTGAAGCCAGCCTGAGTTACATGCTATTTTCTTTAAAAAAAAAAAAAAATCAGTTAGAGGCACTTGTTGTGAACTCGATGACCAGAGGACCTGCATGGTAGAGGAAGAGAAACAACTTCAGCCTCAGCCTCCAGCCTCACTTTCTAGGCCGGAGCCTCTCCTCCTGCCATCCCTCTGCCGCCATTGTAGCACATCTTACACACACAGCTCCAGTTCCAGGGCTCTTACACACACAGCTCCAGTTCCAGGGCTCTCATGGCCTCTTCTGGTCTCCGCAGGCACCAAGCCTACACATTGTACACAGACAGACATACGTGTAGGCAAAACACCCATGTGCTTAGAACAAAATAAGAATAAATGACCGAAAAAGCAAACAAACAATTCTGTCCCCCGCTTGAGTTTGCTGTTGTTTCTCTCTTGAGTATTATGTTGTGACGCCATGTGGGTGCCAGAAACCAGGCTTTTTGTTTTAGGCCACCAAACAGCTCCCAAATCATGACACAGAGTCTTCTTATTAGTTATGAATGCTCAGCCTAGCTTAGGCTTGTTTTCTGGCTCGCTCTTTTAACTGAAATTAACCTGTTTCTCTTTGTCTGCCTTTTGCCTCGGGGCTGATTACCTTTCTTCTGTATGTCTCACTTTCACTGCTTCTCATGTCTGGGGGCATCTCCCTCCTCCTCTCCTTCCTCCTCTCCCTCCTCCCTCCCCCCTCTTTCTTGTTCCTCTCTCTTCTCCACTCCTCCTCCTTACTCTCTCTGCCTGCCAGCCCTGCCTATCTTTCTGCCTGACTGTTGGCCGTTCAGCTCTTTATTAGACCAGTCAGGTGCCGCAGGCAAGCAAGGTGAAACAAATGTACCACATCTTTACATAATTATACATCCTTACATCCCTAAAGAAATGTAGCATAAACAAACGTAACACGTCTTTGTCCAGTTAAAATAATATTCCATAACAAGAAACTGAATCCAGATCTCTGCAAGAGCAGCAAGTTCCCTTAACCACTGAGCCATCCCCCAACCCTTTTATTTAGCTATTTTTATTGTGAACATATCATGTATGATTCCCAGTAAACATAGAAAGAAACCAGACACCGTGACCGTTCTCCAGGTCAAGAGAGCTGCATCAGACCCCAAGGGCTGCTGTGTGCCCATCACTAACATCTTCCTTTCCAAAAGCGGGGTGTGTGGGGGCGTGGTGCTGACATATACCCTTCTTTTCTTTCTTTGAGTCTAGACTTCTCTCCTTTGGAGACGGTAGGGTTGATTTTATCTGCTTCTGAACTTGATGTAAGGGCATTGGACATTAAGTTTTCCTGTTCCATGTCACACTGGACAGCTGTTTCCATTGCAGTGCTGAAGAACATTCTCGAAACACAGAACTGCTGTTGTGTCCGTTCTATGAGGACTATAATGGGCATTTACACTGTTGCTGGGCTTGTGTCTGAGTTTATAGGGGCCACTTTGGCCACCCCAGTTGAGGTGTCCTTGTGTCCCCTGCACAAGCCTCTCTGGACACACACCTGGGGTGGGATCACAGTGTTAGCCTCAGTCCGCTCCAGCCAGCTGGTCCCTGAAGGACAATGCAGGTCTATATAAAACACATGGAGACGTTCCATCGGCATTGCAGTCTGGCCCACATTCAGCCTCATCAGATGCTTTGGTTTGCCCAACTCAGAGGTGTGCAGTGGCCGGCCACGCCTTAGCCTCTGTGTAAATAGCCACTAGATGGTCACTGGAACATCAGGCTTCGTCCTCACAGAGGCCTTTCCCTCAGGCACCGTGTAGAGGGTGGAGGAAGAGGGCACAGGTGCCCAGGCTTCTGTAACAGTAGACCTTGGCTTGCAGGCTGGCCGATCCTCCTGGGGCTGACTGGGGTGCCTGCAGCCTTGCAGCTCATCCTCCTGCCCTTCTTCCCTGAGAGCCCGCGCTACCTGCTGATTCAGAAGAAAGACGAATCCGCCGCCGAGAAAGGTGAGGGCTGCTGTGGTTTCCTCTTGACCCCTGATCCCCAGGCTCCTCAGCCCTGAGCTCACACCCTCTGTTCATCTCTCCCTCAGCCCTGCAGAGGCTTCGAGGTTGGAAAGACGTGCAGTGGGAAATAGAGGAGATCCGGAAGGAGGACGAGGCTGAGAAGGCCGCGGGCTTCGTCTCTGTGTGGAAGTTGTTCAAGATGCGGTCCCTGCGCTGGCAGCTCATCTCCATCATTGCCCTCATGGCCGGCCAACAGCTGTCGGGAGTGAACGCGGTACGGTACCGGTGGGCATCCCGCGGGCACAGGGGCAGCAGCAGGCAGTGTGTGACCAGGTGCTGAAAACGAGTCTTGCCTATGGCTCTGAGGGGCTGGGGTTCAGTGGGTCACTGGCCACCCTCCGCCAAACCCACGGTTGCCTTCCAGATCTACTACTACGCTGATGAGATCTACCTCAGCGCAGGTGTGAAAAGCAACGACGTCCAGTTTGTGACAGCGGGGACAGGGGCAGTCAATGTGTTCATGACCATTGTCACGGTGAGTGTCCATGAGGCTGCGGTCCCATCAGCCTCCAAGGGGGGAGCCATATCTGGGGGCTGAAGAAGAGAGCTGGGGCCTGAGGTATGCTACGTGCCCCTAGGGCTCTGAGGCCTCAGCCTCAAAGCTCTGGCATGAGGCTGTGCCTGACTCCCGTGAGGAGCAGTCATGGATCCCTAGAAGCAGAGGCCCAAACCCAACTCCAGATGCTCCCACTGTGTGCGGTGACTCTGACCTCTTAGAGCTGGGGCTGCTGAGCACGGCAGAAATGGGGCGGGGTCTCTGCACGCAGGGCGAGGCAGTGGCCCTGCAAGGGGCTATTGCCCGTGACTCACCTCTTAGGTAGTACCTGAGTGAGACTTGCCCTCCTGTTAAGAGCCAGCCAGGCCTCCACAGGGGCAGGATCTCTCAAGTTTACTCCAATGCCTGGCTTTTTCCTTGCAGAAGGCCTGAGGCTTAGAGCCACAGGAGTGGGGCCCTTAATTTAGGCTCTCATTTACGAGTGAACATCTGGGACCATAGTGACTCAGCTGGATCTCTCTGCTGACCTCCCAGGGACACATGTTCTGTGCATGCGTTTACAATTGTGTACACATTGGTGGCCGGGCACACACTCCTCCTGACCCCTCAAAAGTTGGTTGAGGGATAGTGAGGGTTCCCATGATGGCAGCCCCAGGCAGGGGTTCTCTGTCCCACAAAAGCACTGGGCACTGGCTCAAGCACCTCACTTCCTCCCTCCCACACCTCCAGGTATTTGTGGTAGAGCTTTGGGGACGGCGGCTTCTGCTCCTCCTCGGCTTCTCTACCTGCCTCACCGCCTGTATCGTGCTGACGGTCGCACTGGCCCTGCAGGTAAGGAACGCTGCGATTATTACCACTTAAAGAAGCCTCAGAGAAGGCGCTAAAACACACTGGTGTCGCATCAAGAAATGGAGAGAGGGAGAGAGGGAGAGAGAGGGGGGAAGAGAGAGAGAGAGAGAGAGAGAGAGAGAGAGGAAGAGAGAGAGAGAGAGAGAGAGAGAGAGAGAGGGAGAGAGAGAGAGAGGACTTCCTCTTGGGATGCTTTGAACTAAGAGTGAAACCCAAATTTGAATTCTCCACTTCTCTTCCTGTGTCTTGCTCCTGTCTGCAGTTCGTGACCTGATGTCTGTGTCTGACGTCTGATGTCTGTGTCCCTAACATAGCCCTGGCTGTCCTGGAACTCACTATGTAGACCAGGCTGACCTCAAATTCCCAAGTGCTGGGATAAAAGGTGTGCACCACCAACGCCTGGCTATTTTACAGAAAATTTTATTATTTACTGACCCCAACTGGCCCAGAATAGCATTCAAAGTCACACGTAAATATTATTCACCTATATCCACATGTTACTTCCAACACGTGAGATATTTGTTGTTCAAGTGTGCTTGCTGGCTACTTTCAGCAAGTGATTACCAGCACACACACACACACACACACACACACACACACACACACTGCTCATATGGACATGCAAGGTCATGGAAAGACAAGGCATGGAAGATTAAAGCTATGCATCTAACTTAGGTTGTAAGAGCTGATTGTATAGGAAGTTAAGGAAGTTAAGGTATATTCAGGTCTGTTACATGACTATATTAATGGGAAAATAAGCTTTTACAGGCTGAACACACAATGAGAGAGCAGGTTAGCCATCAAGGATCTCAAGACCTATTAGTAATAAATAAATTTTAAAAAGGACTGGAGAGATGGCTCAGAGGTTAAGAGCATTGCCTGCTCTTCCAAAGGTCCTGAGTTCAATTCCCAGCAACCACATGGTGGCTCACAACCATCTGTAATGGGGTCTGGTGCCCTCTTCTGGTCTGCAGGCACACACACAGACAGAATATTGTATACATAATAAATAAATAAATAAATAAATATTTTAAAAAAAAAAGATCTGTTAGTAACTTAGCTGCAGGGTATTTTCAGAAAAAGACCACCACAGCAGCTACCAGCCATGCTGGTGGCCCCACTCAGGAACAACACTATATTGTTTCCCACCTATGTTCTCACCATAGTAAAGGCACTAGACACCAAAAATGAACTTATTTTAACAAGTATAGTCTTTGTCAGATGTCTCAGAACTGTGTGCCCCTCCCTCAGCAGATCCAGCCCTCTCTCAGACAACTTCTAATATCTCATCAAGTGGCATAGCAGAGTCACCGCTGGCTCCTTGCAGACCCAGCAGTACCACCTCTGCTCTGAGGTCCCCAAGGCCCCTGGTCCCAGCAGGTCTCAGCTTTGCCAAGTACTAACTGCCTGTCCTCACACCCCTACAGAACACCGTCACCTGGATGCCTTATGTCAGCATCGTCTGCATCATCGGCTACGTCATCGGACATGCCCTGGGGCCCAGTATGTACCCCTAAACTGGATTCATAGCTTCAGTGCCCCATATCCTGGTCCTCCGTGAGCTTCTCTGAGAATCCCCAGGGACAGTGGGTGCATCCCAAGTGGCTTCTCCATTGCTCCTTTTAGCCTGGGACGGAAGAGGCTGCAATTAGCACCATGGGTTGAAGGCGCTGCCGTGTTAGACTGGCAGAGCGAGCGCCACAGGCAGCCTCCTCCATCCACCACACCCGATATCCTTATGACTTCCTCTCTCAGCCACTCCCTCAAAGTCCTGTGCCTTAGAGATACGTACTGCCCTCGTGGCCAGGTAACCAGGGTGCCAAAACACCCATGGGCTCAGGGATCCTTTGTGAGTCATTCTGCCTTCAGGGAGTGGCTCCCCCTAACCTAACTGTCGTCCCCTCCCTTCTCTCCCTCATCCCTCTATCTTCCCTCTCTCAGGTCCCATCCCTGCCCTGCTGGTCACTGAGATCTTCCTACAGTCCTCCAGGCCTGCCGCCTACATGATCGGGGGCAGCGTCCACTGGCTCTCCAACTTCGCCGTGGGGCTCATCTTCCCATTCATTCAAGTGAGTGGCACCTGAATCCCTTCCAGCGCCTCCTGATGTGCATCACCTCCCTCACCGGTCCCTCCTTCCCGCAGGTGGGTCTCGGCGCCTACAGCTTCATCATCTTCGCGGTCATCTGTCTCCTCACCACCATCTACATCTTCATGGTCATCCCGGAGACCAAGGGCAAGTCGTTCATTGAGATCAACCAGATTTTCGCCAAGAAGAACAAGGTGTCGGACGTCTACCCAGAGAAGGAGGAACTCCAAGACCTCCCACCTGCCATGCTTTAGTAGCCCCTGAGCCAACAGAGTCGGTCTGCGCGGACCTGTCTCCTGGACTTTGGTTCTGGCTTCTTGTTGTCTGTGACCTTGGAAGTGAGACGAGCCTGGCAGGGAATGCCAGCCCCGCCACCAGCCTCCAGCCAGGGGACATCTGACCTCGCTCTCCTTCTGTGCTCTTCTGATGCCTCTAAGCATGGAGGCCGGTCACCCTCAACGCCATCCCTCACCTTTGCTGAGCTGACTGTGGTGGGGGTCCTGTAACATAGCCTTTCTAACAAAAACAGATGTGAGGGTCACGTTATACCAGCAAAGGCGACGCTTCTGTGGCCCCCATGTACCTCGTGGGGGTCTCTGGCCTTTGCTTGGGAGTGAAGTCGTCCTCTCTCCTGACCCAGCATTGTCACTGAGCTCGGGAAGAGACCAGGGGAAGACACTCACTGAGCATGAGTTATTAACTATAAATGATAGTATTTGTGGAACATGGTGTCATCTCCATATAGCCAATAAAACACATCTGATCACTTTTCACCAAGACATACCATTTCTCTGTTGAGCAGAAGAGGGCCGTAGGGGAGACACACACACACATACACACACCCGCCGCTGAGGGTGGCTGGTCTCCCAAGCACAGGATCGGGCATGGAGAGGCGCTTGGACACTCTCTGCTGGAGGGTAAGAGCTGCAAAGCTGTGGAATGTTATGTATAAAGTTGGGGGAGGGGCTCTGCCTGTTCGCAGTCACGGGGTGAATGCCAAGAAGGCCTAAGGCTGCAGGAAGGGGATGTGGGAAGGATGGGCTGCCCCTTACATCAGCATGTCAGAAGTGGAGTCTTATTGACATGGGTGTGTGTGTGTGTGTGTGTGTGTGTGTGTATTACACAAGTATGGAGAGAGCCTTGAGTTGTGTGGAAGGAAGTGCTGAACGGGCTACGGGCTGTCATGCAGTGGTCAGGATGACAGGGAACAGCTATGGGAGGCAGAAGCAGTTTCTTCAGACATGGGCTAGAGATTCTACTGGCATTGAGTCATGCAACCGGCAAGAGCAGTCTTGACACATGCTCTGATTGAGCCATCCTTGACCTACCACATGTGAGCAACACAGAAAGACGGACTCCATATATGCTGAGTGGTGACGTCAGAACTAGAAGGCAAGGACCAAGGACCGTTGTGGGCGCGGTTCACAGGAACAACACCTGGAGCCAGGGGAGCCCTGAATCCACTCTCTGGTCCAAACCTTGGTTCTTCCACTTACCAACCATGCAAAATGTCAAGTTACTCAGCCTTTCTTTACTTCAAGTAAAAGCAGAACCAACAGGGCATGTCCCAAGTGGCTGCCGCAGGAATTAAATGACTTCATACGTCTGTAGCCTGGAGGGTGCATGCTTGGTACTCTCTGCTGTGTTGATGTGCTTGGGAATGAACCTTCATCTTGAGACAACAGAAACCCACCCGTGGAACCTACTGGGAGAGGACAGTTACACAGCAGGTGGCAGACGGTGAGAGTCGTTGGACTATTGGCGTGGGGAAAAGACAGGTGGGATCCTCGAACACGCCATGTGGAGACAGATCAGAGACCTTGCTGTTTAAGGTCTTAATGCAGCAGTTTAAGACTCGCAGTTATACCTAGAAATGTCTAGAATTCTGCTAGCGTGGGTGGGTTATATAACAAGAGGAATGAGGCCTGGACGTAGGGTGGTAAAGACTTAGAAAGTATGGAGGGTTCTCCAATCAGTGAGCATTCAATAGAAGTAGGACACTCTGTTCAGGGGAGCCCTCAGTAGTTTGGTCTAGAAGGAAACCCAGGAAGTTAAGGCCTATAAGAGAACCTAGAAGTCTTTTTGAGGTGGGGACTGGGTCTCACTATATATCCCTGACTGGAATGGAACTTGCTTTGTAGACCAGGCTGGCCTTGAACTCACAGAGATCTGCCTGCCTCTGCCTCCTGAGGACTGGGATTAAATGGGTGCTCTGCCATACATACCCAGTGACCCTTTAGTCTTGAGAGCCGCTCTGATAATAACCTGGTTCCAGGCTGAGTATGTAGCTCAGTGGTAGAACCTAGCGTACACGAGGCCCTGGGTTCCATCCCCGGCACTGCAAAGCGATGAAGGTAACTTTGGTGCTGGAAGAACAGAGTTTCCAGAAGTTCCATGTGGGGCTGGAGAAGGGGGAGACTAACTGGTAAATACAAGGGTCAAAGAAAAAGGAGGTTAGTGGGACAGACAGAGCAGGAGACGGGGAGGAGGGAAGAGGGGCCGCTGAACACTTAGGGAGGATTCGAGGGTGATGGACAGTCCATGGGCTATGCAGACAAGATCCCCAGGCTGGTCGCTTGCCCCACAGAAGAGTTGGGGAGCCCTGGAGGAAGCTAGTCCCCCGAGCTTTTCTGAGACTGAGCTCAGACTTCATCTGTGTGAGAGTGCCTTGTATGTTTACAGAAGTTAGGGGCTGCATGGAAGCCACACGGAATTAGAAGGCCTAGGAGACGTGTCCTTATTGGAAAAAGTATGTCACTGTGGGTGGGCTTTGATGTTGCAAAGCTCAAGTAGGCCCAGTGGTGACTCTCTCTTTGCCTATGGATCAGGACAGAACTCTCAGCTACAGCCCCAGCACCTGCCTGAATGCACTCACGCCTTGATGATTGTTGACCGCACTCTGACATTCCCAAGACTGCCAATTGTATCTGGAGGTTTCTTCCTTTCCATCAGTTCCAGAATAACCACTCTGAGGTTTAATATTAATTACAAACAGTTTGGCCTATTAGCTCAGGCTTCTTATTAACTAGCTCTTACAACTAAATTAACCCATTTCTATTACTCTATATTTTACCACAAGGCTTGTGGCTTACTACCTCACATCTTGTTTCTTTGGCAGCTGCTGGTGTCTCCCTCAACCCTCCCTTCTTTCCCCTGTATCTCTTTTTGGATTTCCCCCTGGCTCTATGTTGCCTGGCTATTGACCATGTCAGTTTCTTTATTAACTAATGGCGATAAAAACATATTCACAACATACAGAGGGGCATCCTACATCAGTCAATAAAGTTTACTTTGAATCAGAGAGTAGAGTTAGCTACTAGCTGACCAAAATTATCTATAAATGTTTTGGAGAACCAAGGACATATAGAGAGAGACAGGAAGCAGTATGGAGGGGCTTAGAAAGATTCTTGGCTCTTTTGGATGAAGGAAGGAGAAAGATAAGTCACTAGTCACTTCTATACCATGTCTCTGATCGATCAGTATCTGACTCTCGACTTTTTATTGATAGAGAGTTAGATAAACACTTTATTTGGCATCCATCACAAGCGAGTCACCATCATGGCAGGCCTTCCCTCCCTCCCCCAAGGCCTCCATAAGAGTCTGGGGTTTTCCCATTGCAGCCTTTCTAAAGCAGCCTCCAGCTGCTGCCCATCCCCACTGGGCCCCAAATGCTGCCAGCGTTAGCCACCCACCACCAGGCAGCTCTGTCATCCAGGAAGCCCCCATGCCCTCGTTTCCTGCCACACAAACTTCTTCAGCACAGCTTTCTGTGTCCATGGTTTATGTGACTTGATGTGGGATTCCCCTCTGTATGCTGTGTAAACCATTGGTTAATAAAGAAACTGGCTTGGCCTGATAGAGTAGAACAGAGCGAGGTGGGGAAAACTAAACTGAATGTTGGGAGAAAGAAGAGTGGAGTCAGGGAGAAGCCAGGGAGTCATCGCCAGAGACAGACACAGTGAAATCTTGCCAGAAGGTCACGAACCTCATGGTAAAATATAAAATAATGGAGATGGGTTAATTCTAGATGTAAGAGATAATTAGCAATACACTTAAGTAATTGGCCAAACAGTAATTTAATTAATACAGTTTCTGTGTGGTTATTTTGGGAGTCTGGGCAGCCAGGAAATGAACAAGCAGCCAACTACAACAGTAACTCACTCCCTCTCCCCTTGGGTTGCAGGATTCCCCTAGACCTCCTCTTCAGGACAGAGAAAAATTTGCCTTCATGGTGCCTATTTATAATAATTCCCAGCCTATTAAAAGTTATCAGTGGAAAATTCTTTCACGAGGATGTTAAACAGCCTCAACTTGTGTCAGTATTTTGTACAGCAACCACTAGAAATAATTTATATACAGTTTCCTCAATCTATAATTTACCATTATATGGATGATATCATACTAGCTGATTCAGATCCTGATAGTTTAGAAAAAATGTTTGAAGAAGTAAAATTTCACCATGTTGGGAATTATTAATTACTCCTGAAAAAGATGTAAAAGGGAGATTCTATTAAATACCTGGAATATAAGAAAAGTTTACAAATATTCAACCCCAGAAAGTACAAATGAGTAGAGATCAATTACAAACTCTTATTGATTTTCAAAAATTGCTGAGCGATACTAACTGGCTACAAACCACACTCAGATATGCTACTCAAGAACTAAGTAATTTATTCCAAACCTTACAAGGTGATAAGGCCTGAAATAGTTCAAGAAAACTATCAGCTGAGGCTGAGAAAGAATTGACTCTGGTAGAAAAGAAATTACAGGATGCGCACGTGTATTGTATCTTGGTCACACCACCCTCTACTCAGTCTCTCCAAGAATGCTTACGCAGAGAGAGGACAGCATCTTAGAATAGATATCTTTATCACACAAACAGAATAAAAATTAAGGTGCTATGCAGAAAAAGTTTCTGAACTGATTCTGAAAGGAAAATTGAGATATCATCAATTAACAGGAATAGACCCAACAGATTTTGTGGTACCTTTTACCAATGCTAAAATTGCCTCCTTATGGTCAGAAAATGAACATTGACAAAGAGCTTGCGGTAATTTCTTGGGAGAGATTAGCAACAAATATCTTCAAAACAAGAGACTTCAGGGCTGGAGAGATGGCTCAATGGTTAAGAGCACTATCTTCTCTCCCAAAGATCCTGAGTTCAATTCCCAGCAACCACATGGTGGCTCGCAACCATCTGTAATGAGATCTGGTGCCCTCTTCTGGCCTACAGGCATACACGCAGACAGAATACTGAGAATACTGTACACATAATAAATAAAATAAATAAATAAACAAGAGACTTCAATTTTTAAAAAGAAATAATTAGATCCTTCTTCACACTGTATGGGAAACACCAATATCTGGAGCCCCTACATTCTATACTGACACAAATAAATCAGGACAGGCAGGTTATAAGTCAGGAAATTCAAGAAAAAGTGGCTTAAATCCCTTATGATTCTGTTCAAAAGTCAGAATTACATGCTATTCTCACAGTATTATTAGATCTTCCAGATCCTCTTAATATAGTTACTGACTCTCAATATGCAGAGAGTTGTTTTACATGTTAAAACTACTGAACTTATTCCAAAAAATTCATAATTAACTTTTACTATTTACTCAGTTACAAGAAATAATCAGAAATAAAAATCATCCCTCACATAAAACACATACCAGATCCCATATGGGCCTACCAGAACCTCTAACCCAAGGTATTCATGAAATTGATCAGCTACAGGTGGGAAATGTACTAGCAGAATCAGAACTTCATAAG